TTTTGGTTTCATGTTTACCCGGCAAAGTGAACATTGATATATGACAATTTTTCTAGTTTTGATAGCTGCCAAAAGACAATTTTTAGGTTTTATTGTACCAAATAATAGCATGGACCAAAGAATTATGATATATATGTAACTACTAAATACTATATGTATATCAATTGCAGCAATTTCTTACCCTGTACTACTAACACATTCTCTGCCTGTCTTTCTGCCTTTTTGTTCGGATCTATACGTTTTCTCGGACCTGTTCCGTTGGAATGTCTGCTTTCTGTTTTGCGGTTTGGGTTCTGATACCACAGGGTTTGGTGCCTTTTGGACATGCCTACAACATGTGGGTTTCCTAACTGTAAGTTTCGTTCGCGCTACAAAGGCTCTGACGACCCGCGGCACTTCTACCGTGTCCCCAAGAAGCCGGCCGTGCTGCGTGAGAAGTGGCTGGAGGCCATCGGTAGAACTGAGGAGACACTTGTGTCCCAGGTAACATGGCATGAACTGTGTTGTGACGTGTAGAACTGAGGAGACACTTGTGTCCCAGGTAACATGGCATGAGCTGTATTGTGACGTGTAGGTAGAACTGAGGAGACACTTGTGTCCCAGGTAACATGGCATGAGCTGTATTGTGACGTGTAGGTAGAACTGAGGAGACACTTGTGTCCCAGGTAACATGGCATGAGCTGTGTTGTGATGTGTTCTTCCAGGGCCAAGTAAAAAGTACCGGTATGCAGGTTAACTTGCATGTAAAATTGGAGCTGTGCACAAGTATTTCTGAAGTCTACCAGAACGTACATTTGTCACCTCACCTGCGCTGGCATATGTAACTACTGGGATTAGACTGACGGCCCTGTATGTGGATTTTTATTCGTAGATTGACTCAATGTTACTGTTACCACCTACGTTTTGATTGGAGCATAAAGTAATGGTTACTGAACCGTTTTTAGTATGACGTCTTACATTCTGAGTTTTGCAGGTAAAATTTGTCTGGGTGCAGGTTATTTTCAAACAATGTTAGAAAAAAGTATTTTGTGCCCTTACTTCTGTTTCGCATGCTCCATTCTTTTCTGCTGTTCTTATAAGAAATCTTTGAGCAACATGAAGTTAGCAATGTACTGTAATATCTGGACATTTGTATTACGTATTACTGTTTACAGATGTCCCAGGCTATTTGTACCTGTTACAAGCTGTACACAGTTTATTTGATGAACTAAGTGTTCTTCAGTATTGTTCTGACAAATGTACTATGGACGTGGCAAGGATTGTTCCTTCATTGTGCCTCAAAATTGTCTCGACTTGTTAAAGATTGGCCTTCAGTGTTACCTGGTTTTCTTGCAAGTCTATTTTATTCCAATCTTGCTTGCCAATTGCTCAGCAGTAATACAGGAGTCCCCATAGAGGCTTCTGAATGGCCATGTTAACAGATTGAGATGGATACTGATGTCTGTGGCAGTGAGACATGACTATTGACTGTGCATGTGATCCCAGGCCTGTCTGAACCCTTGATAACCCATGTATCAACGTTAGTCCCCTTTCTCCTCACGTTTCCCTTTATGATTACCATGATATATAGTCACATTATTGTGACAGAGAGGCAGGCAGTGTCGGCTAATGGTTTCCGTAGCCGTTAGGATGGGATGCTTCACTGATAGATAGGCACGATCTTTCAGTCAGGACCATGGCGTAGCTTTCATTTGTGTGAGAGGGTGGTGGATGTTGTTATGCTTATCTGTTGTTGATCTGTGTGTGAAGTTAATGTTGTTATCTGACAAGTGAACAAAGTATGTGTACAATATGTGCTTCTTGTGTTAAGCCCATCTGTGGTACGATGTTGACAAAGGTGTGTGTGGAAATGACGTGGCACTAATCCAATTTTCAGGGAGCATATTTTCCGGCAATTGAGAACATTTGTATAAAGATAATGAGGAGGGGCTTGTGATATATGATAATTGATATAGTTGTTTCTTTGATGTCTGTACTGTCAAGTTCAAAGTGTTTCCATAAAAAGAGAAGATATCATCAAAGCATGACTATACAAAGGAGTTAAAAATGAAAGCCTTGTATGACAAAAGAGAAAAATTATTCATGACGACATGAGTCATGGACAATATGATTTTACATTTATTAAGGTACATACTTTGTAGATTATTGGTTATATATAGCTATAATCGGATGATAGCACATGTATCTACAACCAAGTCTCCATTTCTATGTCTTTAGAGCAGTTAAATTTGAATGAGAGATTTACTCATGTCGTCAACGATGAAATTCTCTATTGGCACAAAAGTTTACAGGAGCAGATGTTATCAAGATTCAATTTGGAGTTTGAAAATCTTTCCCTTGTGTCTAGTAAGCAAGTCTTTTCCGTCATGCTAACCGAGTCTTTCCTTCCCACAGCTCCGAGTGTGCAGCGCCCACTTCTGTGGTGGAGAGAAGCGTGAGGGTGACATTCCCGTCGCCGATCCTGCAGTGGACCCCCCACAGTGCATCCGCCTCCCAACGCCCCCCACCAAGTCCTCGGACAAGGTTCGAAAGAGCAAGAAACAGCGAGTAACCGATAGGACTGCTGGAAGTAGGTACAGGACCTAGCTCTGTGTTGTCTTGTTGGAGGTCCCGTGGTGGTGTGTGTGTAAGTTGTGGTGTTTATATCTTGATATTTTGTAGTTTGTTAGTGTTCCTTACACAGGGTCCTTCCATGCTGTCTTTACAAAGATTCTAGTAAATGCTTGTGCAAATTGACCTTTTAATAGACATACAAAAGTTGCTTTTGACAAGCTATCATTTGTGTTGTTTAAAGAGTTTTTATTTCCTACAAAACTGAACAAACGCAGCTAGCTTTGCTGCTATCGACTCACGGAATGTCCCTGCTAAGGATTATAATTTATTCCACTAAAAATCAGAAGGGCAGTTATAATATTGCAGTTTAGTAGTAGTCTGCCCTTCTGTATGTTTCTAATGGAATAAACCAAGTACAAAATTGACATATAGTAATGATGTTAGTGGTCATCTTCTTGCTCCATATATATTGTAACATTTTAGGCCATTTTGAAATTGATATTTATGTACTTCGTGATTCTATCTCATCCTGTGTAATTCTTCTGCTTATTTGCATAGATTAAATAATTGAAGTCATTGATGTTTAATCCTAGTTCATATGCATCACACATTGTGCATGCTGTATTCTACATTTCTAGGGAAGACAAAAGATTGTGATCTGTCATTTTAGCTATTTTGCATGCATTAGCGCGTGTTTTCCATTGGTACTTCATAACTAGAAGAATGTCATGTGTTTGAAGTCTATGAACTTAAAACTAAGATTGTAGTCTTCTTGCAAAAGCCAGCTTATCGTCATAGTTTCTTGAAGTTATTGTTGCTGAATTTCAGTATTATATATAATTATTATACAGGTACAACAGACTGATTCAATTTTTCTTGTAGGCTATTTGATGACTGCACATCTCATACCTATATATAATGGAAAGTTGCAATCACAACATAGTTGTTAGGTAGTAAATCGGCATTGCTTTATAGAATGGAAATTGTAGTGGTTGGTACATGTGAAAGAAAAAAGGTACAGTCCAGTGTTTGTAAGTAACCTGTTCGCCCCATGTTCCACAGACACACGTACAACAGCTACAATGAACGGACCCAGACACCCTCGCCCACTGGTGGCTCTCCTGGACGGACGGGACTGCTCCGTGGAGATGCCCATCCTCAAAGACGTGGCGACCGTTGCCTTCTGTGACGCTCAGTCCACCACAGAGATCCACGAGAAGGTAAGCACAACTCAAGATACATGGTTTAAATTTGTTGGCTGGGGCACCACTATAATGCAGTAAAAGTCACTGAGCTGGCCTACCCTCGATATAGAATTAAATAAATGGATAAGTTTGATACTATCCAGGATTTTTTTTTTTGGACATTTCATTACACTGCAAACAAGAGGTGAAGTATCCTTTCTCAAGTTCATTATGATGTCATTATGCACAAATTTGAAGTTGTACCTTTATTCATCTGTGTAGGACAGTACAAGGCCAAAATGGTCTCATTTTTCCCCCTCATAAAAGATGTGGCCCTGTGTTGTTTTATAGGTTCACCTTTTAGGGGTTTATGGACACTACATGTCAGTTTCCTCCTGTCCACAGGTCTTGAACGAAGCTTTTGGCGCCATGATGTACCACACGATCACACTGACCCGAGAAGACCTGGAGAAGTTCAAAGCGCTCCGCGTTATCGTCCGGATTGGAGCCGGTTACGACAACGTGGACGTCAAAGCGGCTGGAGAGCTAGGTGAGAACCGACAAAAATGATGCATTAATTTTTAAAGAAGGGATACATTTGTAGAGCAATGACTGTATAAGGAGCTCAGTTGTTCAAAATGGTGTCAAGACATTGTTCTGTGTTTCTGAAATGAATCCTAAGAAATGTATGACACTTATTATTATCTTAATAAGAGTAACATAAGTCAAGGAGCTTCAAACAAGTTGTGAAAAATTCTTATGGATTTCAACAGTAAAAAACAGTGAAGAATTTTTTATGCAACTGTCAGAAATACTACGGGAAAGAAATGCTACGGGAACATAATTTGCTGCAAGTGTGTGAGCTCTGGTGGATTCCTTTTTCTCCCAGGTGTGGCAGTGTGTAATGTGCCAGCATACGGTGTGGAGGAGGTTGCGGACAGCGCGGTGTGTCACATCCTGAACCTGTACCGGCGCATCTTCTGGCTGGCGGAGATGCTAAAGGAGGGGAAGAAGATATCGGGGTGCGAGCAGGTCCGGGACGCCGCGCAGGGCGCCGCCAGGATCCGCGGAGAGACGCTAGGGATCATCGGGCTCGGTGAGAGGAATGATTTCCAAGTTTTACAACTGTTACTGTGTTCAGTTCACAAGTTCCTGTCATGCAGGATAGAGCACAGTTTATCGCCTTATAGACTCTTTTCTGTTGCTGTAAGCCATACATATTAGCATGTGTTAGCTCTTCTTCAAACTATGTTCACTGCTATATGACAATTGTTCTGAAACTGTCCAAAAAATTAGCACACATAGAGACTCTGAGTCACATATAGAGAAAATGTTCAGTGTGCAAACATTAAATTTGTGCATCTCTGTGGTCTCGAAAGGATGTCTTTTACATGGTCAGATTTATGTGGAAGTAGAAGATTTTAGTAAGTTCTTTTTTTTATACAGGTCGTATTGGAATCGCTGTCTCCCAGAGGGCCAAGGCTTTTGGGTTCAACGTGAT